GAGACGCCCCGCCCGCCCACCCGCAACTTGGTTTTCAAAACCCACGCGGCGGCGATTGCGACGAGTGCTTGGCGTTGGTTGGTGCAGCTCCGCGGCCGCGCTGGCCCGCGCGCGCTCGCGCGCGAAGCGGCCGGCTAATTTGGCGCGACCGACGCGGCCGCGGCGGCGCCGGCCGCCGGGCGCGCCCCAGCGGGCGCTTCAGCGCGAGTCGGCGACTTGGGCGGGCGCGGTACCATGGCAACGTCGACAGCGGTAAACGCGATAATGAGAGTGGCGATGATGACGGCGATGTCGGCGATGGCGACGGCAGGTCCGATTTTGGTGCCGATGTTGATCGCGCCCGCCGACGACGATGGCGATGTCCTCGCGTCGGCGGTTCGGGCTCGCAAAGGCGCTCGAAACGCGCGCGCGGCCGACGCGCGCGAGTGGCCCGCGCTGCGTGGGAAAACCTACCGGTGTCTGAGGAATCCGCAAGAGCGCGAGCGCATTTGTTTCGCGGGCAGCTCGCGCTGCAAAACCACGTGTTGTTTTACAAGTTTTCGGGGCGCCCCTCGCCGACGCCCCCGCGACGCCTAAGGTTTTTGAAGGATTTCGGCATGCGCGAGCGACGATGCGCGCGCGCACTTCGCCTCAGTTGTCGCGGGGGATCACGGCGATGCCGCGCGCGCAGGGACGTTCGAGCGATTTCGACGCGCTCGCGCGAGGGGCCCGCGCGGTAGAATTTATGGACACGTTGAAACTTGTGCACGATACGTTTTCCAAAGAATTGGAAGGCGCGCGGGCGCGAGCATTTTTGATATATCAACCCGTCGTTGCGAGCCCACTTGTTTTTGCGTGCTTCCGTGATTCTTGTTGTCGAAATCTTCGCGAAACTCAGTGGTTGTCGAAGGATTCTGGCACGCGCGCGCGACGGCGGGCGCGTGTGCACTTCGTCCCGCCTGTTGCAATATAGTATTCAAAGTTGATGGTTTTTTATTTAAACGAGTGCGCGCGCATTATATTTGTTTTGTCGCAGAGGATGAAGAGAGGGGGGGGTCGGTGCCGGCGCTGGGCCTGGCTGGGATGTTTTGAATTCGCATCTAGGATAGACGATGGAGCGGAACCACGCGTTAATTGCAGCGCGAAAAGGTAGCCCGTTAACCCTGACAAAGGGGGTGATCCGAGTCTTCTTTGAGGACAAGAAATTCATCTGCGGGGCTCGCAGTTGTCAGTTCCATTGCGCGCGCGATCACCACACCCGCCAACCGAAACTTGTTTTGCTCAGTGCATGCGGCGGCGGTTGCGATGAGTGCTTGGCGTTGGCAGGTGCATCTCTGCGGGCGCGCTGGCCCGCGCACGCTTTCGCGCGCGGCGGCTGGCGAGTTTGGCGCGACCGACGCAGCCGCGGCGGCGCTGCCCCCTGAGCTGTTTTTTTGTTTTGAAAATGGATGTTGCTAATCAAGTTGTTTTTGTGTGTTCCATCTGTCTGTCTGTCTGTCTGTTTCTCTCTCTCTATTGATCCCCCTCTCCCTATCTATCTATCTATCTATATATCTAGTTATATATCTAGTTATCTATTTATCTATATATCTATCTATCTATCTATCTATCTATCTGTCTATATCTATCTATCTATCTATCTATATATCTATCTATCTATCTATCTATTTATCTATCTATCTATCTATCTATCTATCTATATATCTATCTATATGTGTACTCGGGGCACTCGGCTTTGAAACCTGCGCGAAACTAAAGGTGTTTGAAGGGTTGCGGCACGCGCGCGCTACGACGCGCGCGCGCGTGCGTTTTGTTCCGTTGCCTGCGGGGAATTATGGCGACAGCGCGCGCGCAAAAGGCGTTCGAACGATAGCGTGGGTCACTTATTGCTTTGTAAAACGTGTTGCGAAATCTTTTGAATTGTATGTTTTCGGGGCAATCGGCTTTGAAACCCTTACGGAACCATTGGTTGTTGAAGCATGTTGGCATGCGCCCGCGACGACGCGCGCGCGTGCACTTCGTCTCTTTCTACGTCAGGGATTCTCGCGGCAGCACGCGCGCAAGGGCGTTCGAACGATTCCGGCATGTGCGCGCGAGAGGTCCGCATGGTAGCAATTTATGAACAATCTTGAAGAATCCATGGTTTTCTTTCAAATTCGCAAGAGCGTGGGCGCAGGATTTGTTTTGAGAATCTTTGTTGCGAAACCAAATGTATTTTCAATGTCTCTGGGGAGCTCGCGTTTGAAACCCTTCGGAAATTGACGGCTTTTGAATGATTTAGGCATGCGCGCGCGATGACGCGCGTGTGTGCACTTCGCCTTCCTTCTGCAAGGGACTCTTGACAACTCGTGATATTTGATAAACGGGTGTGCGCGCATAGATGTTTGGCAGAGGATGAGAGGATGGGGGGCTTTACCAATTCGGCTGGGATGATACGAACTCGTTTCCGGGTTGGACGATTGGGCAGAATCGCATGTAAATTGCAATACGAAGAAGTGGCCCGTCAACCTCGACGGGGGGGGCTAAGATCCGAATCTTCGTTTAGAAGGGAGGATCCACGGGAACTCGCAGTGTAGCGGGAGCAGGAGCGGGAGCTGGATGAGGAGCAGCTGCACGAGGAGGAGCAGCAGACCGAGCAGGAGTGATGAGGCGTCCCTCTTGGTTATCCTCCTGGTTTTCCTCCTGGTGTTCCTCCTCTTCCTACCCCTCCTGCTCCTCCTGCTCATCCTCGTCCTTTTCTTCCTCGTTCCTCCTCGTTCCTCCTCGTCCTCCTCCTCCTCCTCCTCCTCCTCCTCCTCCTCCTCCTCCTCTTTCTCCTCATCCCTCTCCTCGTGTCTCGCTCCTCGCTCTTCGGTCCTCCTCCTGTTCCTCCTCCTCCTTCTCTTCTTCCTCTGTTTCTCATCCTCCTTCTCTTCCTCCTCCTCCTCCTCCTTCTCCTCCTCCTCCTTGCTCCTCCTCGCTCGTCCTCCTCAGCCTCCTCCTCCTCTTTCTCTGTTTTGTTATCCTCCTCCTCCTTCTCCTCCTTTTCCTCCTCTTTCTCCTCCTCGCTCCTCGCTCCTCGTTCCTCCTCCTCGTTCCTCCTCCTCCTCCTTCTCCTCCTCCTCCTCCTCTTCGTCGCTCCTCCTCCTCCTCTCCTCCTCCTCTCCTCCTCCTCTCCTCAACCTTTTCCTCCTCCTCCTCCTCCTCGTTCCTCGCTCCTCGCTCCTCGCTTATCCTCCTCCTCGCTCCTCCTCTCCTCCTCCTCCCTCCTCCTCCTCCTCCTCCTCCTCCTCCTTCTCCTCAACCTTATCAACCTCCTCCTCCTCCTCGCTCGTCCTCCTCCTCCTCCTCCTCCTTTTCCTCCTGCTCACCCTCCTTCTCCTTCAGCATCATCATCACCATCATCATCATCATCATCAGCATCATCAGCATCAGCATCATCATCATCGTCATCATCATCATCATCATCATCATCATCATCAGCATCATCATCATCGCTCCTTGCTCTTCGCTCGTCGTTCCTCGTTCCTGCTCCTTTCTACGTTAGACCAACATGGGGTGTGGAGCTTGATTCGTCAGTGTGATGGAAGAATGGCAGGCGTGCGCCTTGCAAAAGTGCGGATTGAAGGCAGGCGCTATGCGGCTGTAGGCTTGGGGAAGTTTGGGACCCAGAGCATGATGCAGGCACAGGTGAAGCAAGGAACCGCCCCCATCATCATCATCATCATCATCATCATCATCATCATCATCATCATCATCATCATCATCATCATCATCATCATCATCATCATCATCAATCCCACCCACCGCCACGTCCCATACTAAGGTCCCTCGCCGAGGAAAGTGCAGGGGCCTATGTAAAGAAGTCCCTTGGCCCACACCGTGGGGGGCCCTTTGTGAGGGCCTAAAGCTCCTCCTCCTCCTCCTCCTCCACCACCCCCCACAGTACCTCTTAACATGCCCCACCCCTCCTCCAAGATGCCCTCTCCGAGGGTCGAAGGCAGCGGCGCTACACGCCCTCACCGAGGGCAGCTGTCTCCGAGGAAACACGTATTGCAGCCAATGTTGCGTGTGCCTGCTGATCATGATTCAGAGGCTCGTGCGTACCACGCATGTGGACGAAGGAAAAGATGATGTCAATAGCAATATATATATAGATATAGATATACACGCCGTTCAATATATTGGAAGGCTGGCACAGTTTTCACAGGCTGGCCTGGTTGGTACAGATGTATGGCGCAACTGTCACACTGGATCGATGCTTAAGCTCGTGTAGTACGCTTGTGCGCCGGCAGGCTGGCGAGGCAGAGTCAAGGATGAGGTGGTCTCCTCCCCCTCCTCCACTCCAATGGTGCCCCATCCAAGTCGGACACTCGTGCGCACCACGCATGTGAACGAAGGAAAAGATGAAGTCATCTGCAATATATAATGCCGGTCAATACATTGGAAGGTTGGCACAGTTTTTACAGGCTGGCCTGGTTGGTACCAATGTATGGCGCAACTGTCACACTGGATCGATGCGTAAGCTCGTGTAGTACGCTTGTGCGCCGGCAGGCTGGCGAGCCAGAGTGAAAGATGAGGTGGTCTCCTCCCCTTCCTCCACTCCTATCATGATCCAACTCCAACCATGCTCCTCCACCTCTTTCAAGATGCCCTCTCCGAGGGTCGAAAGCAGCGGCGCTACACCCCCTCACCGAGGGCAGCTGTCTCCGAGGAAGCATGTATTGCAGCCAATATCGCGTCTGGCTGCTGATCTTGATTCAATCACTCGTGCAGACCATCGGAATATATATATATATATATATATATATACACATATTTATATATATAACATGTACCCCTCCCACAGGAGGAGGAGGGAGGAGCGAGAGTCATCAATGGAGGAAAGCGGAGGGCGGGGGAGGGAGGAAAACGGCGTGGGAAGGTGGGACGGAGCTGCGGAGTCCGAGTGTGCGGCATACGTGAACACATGCATGCGAAGATTGGTAAAACATTTGTGTCGACGCCGTGAAATACCTTGGAAGGGTGGCGCAGTTTTCACAGGCTGGCCCGGTTGGCGCCTTGCGTGGCGCAACTGTACCACTGGATCGATGCTGAAACCGGTGCAGCGCTGCTTGTGTGCCGGCAGGCTGGCGAGGCAGAGCGAAAGATGAGGTGGTCCCCCCCCCTCCAAGTTACTCCAGATTTCGTAATAAAGGGAGGGGGGTCTCATTTCGGGGGGGGTCTCTTCCAGGCTATTTTGGAGGGCCTGGGGGGGTCTGGGGACGATGTTTTGGAGGGTTCTTCCACGGGGGGGGTCTAAAACTTCTCGTCTGGGAGGGTTGAGACCCCCTCCCTTTTATTACGAAATCTGGAGTATCCCTCCATCCAGCTTTCCTTATTCGTGAGGCGGAAAAAGCAGCTGCTGCTGCTATCCTCGGAAGGACAGAAACGAACGCGCGTGCGCACGACAGGAAGCGGAGAGGCACGGAGAGGCGAGGACCCCCAGCAGTGGACGGCCCAACGCCCAGGACACGGGAGAGGACCCAACGCCGAGAACAGCGGGAGGAGGAGGAGGAGGAGGAGGAGGAGGAGGAGGAGGATTTCCAGGATTTCCGCCTTCACGTAGTGAAAACTAGGCTTGATGCTCAGCTCTTGCACTTGGGTAACAGGCCGCGCTCGATCCTGTCGAGATATTCGCGCCTGGCCTTCGAGATGGGTAATTTGCACGGTTCCGCTAGCCCCCTGAGCTGGGCTTGACCGTAAAAACCGCACGGGCCGCAATACCACAACTGAAGGTCTTTATGATAAATCAAAGCGTGAGTGGGATGGGTCCAACCCCCAGCCAAGTGTAAACGCCGTCCTCTCGGAACACGTGCGATCTGACTATTCACATGCTGGAGTTGGAAGCATTCACTTTTTGACCATTCCGCTAGCACCGCTTTGGTCGAGGAGCCCCTACACACACTACACGCCCTACCACTTTCGGTCAGGGAGTGGGCAGACGCGAAGCGTGCAATGGCGATAGGAGGAGGAGGAGGAGGAGGAGGAGGAGGAGGAGGAGGGGGAGGTGGGCCAGCCCGAGCTGAGGCCCCAGCTTCCCCCGACACCCGGGCGGCCTTGATAGAATCCAACCCTACTCGCAAAAGCCTCCTCCGCACCAACAAGGCTTTGTGTTCGATGGACATGACACGGTGACGACTGGCCTGAGAAACCCGCGCGTGCGCGGCCGATTCTCCAGCAAGGACGTCGACGCAAGCATTGCCAATCACAAGCCAACTCGGTATCCCACGGGCGAGGTACTCCCGTGGGCTGAGGTGCGAGGGCACCTGCATGATGATTACACTGGCAGGGTGCCGAGCCTGTCGCAAAAGGAGCTTGCCGACCTCTCTCCACAGGTCGGCTTGCGGCCCCTCAGGACGACGAAAAAGCTCTGAATACCACCCCCTAGCCACTTCAGCACAGTCTGTAACGTAAACGATAACACCTACAGAGAATCTGAGAGCCCAAAGGAACGCCAGAAGCTCGCCTCTAGGAACACTCTGAGAGGGCCCAGGGAGCGGCCCCATCAAGAAAGGACCTCGGGTGGGAGTGTCATAGCTCCTAACATTCGCAACGGCCAGGCCTACCCTACGCAGCCTAGAGTCGTGGGTGTCTTTCCCCCCCGACGCGTCCCCAAACAGGACCAGGGGCTCCCTCGAGGCGCCTATCCCCAGACAGCCTTCCTCCAAAGAGCCCCCAGGCCAATTGCCACCGACGATGGCCTCTTCGGGGGCGGGAGGAGGGACGGAGGTCCAGGAGGAAGGGATGAGGCCCCGCATCCAAAAACACGGAAACGCCTCGGACTCTGACACAGCCTGAGTAATAAGATCATTCGAATCCTCATAGGTTTTGGACGCAGAGCTGGCGTTCGCCTCGCAAGTCCAGCACCTGTGCAAGGCAGTCTCTGGACTTTGCCCGCACCGAAGGCAAACTGAAGAACTGCAAAGGTTGGCCTGGAAGCTCCTCTCACGCGTCCAAAAACCTCCCGTGGCAATATAAACTAGCAGCTCCGACAACTGCCGACCTTTTTTGACATCCTGCAACTCGCAAATCATGGCCTGCAGTAAAACCATGTCCACTCCGTCAGCGACTCCGTCGCCGCAGAAATGTGTGGCTGCTGCCCGCCACTGCTGAAGCTCCCTTGTCCGCTGAAGCTCGTCCAGAAGGGGCTCTGCCTGATCCAGAGCCTCGAAATCGCTCCCGTGAAACATCCACGAATGCGTCAACGAAGATCCATCATGTGGCACTTCCCATTCCGTCTGAGAAATCGGCTTCCAACCCGCTTCAAGCAGGTACATGATGACAGTCGTCATGGGGCCGCGCACGTGACGTGCGCGCTGCCCCACTGGTAAACTGGAAAGGTGGTCGACTGCCCGCGGCCAAGCCCGCGCGGTGGCTGGCCTGATCTGGGAGTCGGTCAGCCACACACTCAGCCATTGCGACAAGCACTGCCGCGGCAGACGCACTCCAGGATCATGACCTGGGAGTCTGAGCGCCAGCAGCGTCGTGAGACACCTGCCGCGCTTGGCTGACCCCGCGGCAGCGCCAAGACGACGGCGCTGCGCCTGCAGCACCGAGCCGAACTGCCCGTGCACGTGGTGCCCGTAGACGGCGGCTGCCTGCGGCCCTGCACGCTGCAGCTTGGCGGACGCCGCCCAGCGTCGAGCAGCCTGTGCGTACTTCCGCAGCCGCCCGTGCGTCTTGCTAGACTTGAGCGCCCGCTGTCTGACGGTCGCTCGGCCGTGCCGCCTGCCGCAGGACAAATCCACCCCGAGGTAGGCGGTCTGCAGCGCGGCTCGCAGAGTGACGCCCTCCCTCTTGAGAGCGCGCTCGACCACCTGCGCATCACTGTGGTGCGAGCACAAAACAACACTCTTGGCGGCGATAGCCAACTGCAACTTGGAGAACAGCCTGATGGTCGAGAGCACTCCCTTGATGAGCGTGTACCTGACGTGCTGTCTCGAACCCATGACCCTCTGAGATAAAGCATCTATCCAGATTCGTTCTGGTAGTGAAACATGCGCCTGACAGAGGCGCTGGCACACGTATGCTGTAAGGCACTTGGCAAACCTCGTGCCGTTCCGCAGCCCTTGCACCACTGATCGAGTCACCTGGAACGGTTCGCTGAACGAATCGATCTGCTCCAGCATGCGCGGCGCCAGGCAGATCTGAAGTTCCAGATACAATATGACGGCGGGGAAACCTTTGCGCATGGCACACAACGTCGAAGGTTCCCACTCGATGGAGTCGTAGAATGACGCAATGTCGACCACCGTCTGACCGTGCGGTATGTCCAGGCGTGAATGGGCCTCGTCCTGCAACGCCCGAGCGAACGCCTCCCGCAGGGCGCTGTTCCCCGCGATGGCGGCGCCCCAGTGGTCCGTCTCCGCCTGCAGGGCGGACCACTCCTTCATCTGCACCTCCCTGGCCATGGACCAGACACGGCGCAGCATCGCGATTAAGCCGATCACTCTGTCCCCGCCCGACTTCTTGCCTAACAGTTTCCCCGCCACGCACATGACCTGCCATGGCCATGAGAGGCCTTCCTCGATCATGTGGAAGCGGTCGCAAAGGCACTGGATGCCCTCGTCGGGCAGCCTCTCTATGTCGGTCGGAGAAAGCCTGTCGATCCCGAGGCCTGCCCGAGCCTTCATGCGCGCTAAAGCCGCACGAACGCCCGCCACGTCCAGCGGGACGAGCTGCTCCACCTCAGCTCTGCTCCTGACCGTACTCATGGTAGCCTGGATCCCATCCCAAGGGGGCACCTCGGAGTGCCACAGCTTGTGATAGCGTAGCACCTTGCGGTCCACGATATCCATGGGATGAACTCTGACCGAGCCATCGCAGTCGTGGAACCCGTCGCGTTCAGGATCTGGGTCCTTAAGCGATCTGAAAACTTGCCCCTGGGAATCAAGGCTGCTGAACCAATGCTGAAAATCCTTCAGTGACGAGGCCGCAGCACGATTCTGCGCCCTCTTGGACGCTCTGAAAGTCTTCTCCTCCAACATGCTGAGCTCGTCGACGCTGAGCTCGAGCAATCGCCTGAGGTCCTGCAGGAGCCCTTGCCAGGGGCCGAAATGCGCAGGGAACGCTGCGCCTGCTCCGTCCATTGGCTGGTCAGCCAACCTGACGGACGCCGATGCTAGGTAGCCCAGCTGCACGATGCCGTTGCTGCGCCTGCGATGTCGTAGCACTCTCTGAACGATATTGTGAATCCTTGACCACCATGTGGAAATGCCGTCTCGCAACGGCTCTTGACGAATGTGCTCCGCTTGCCTCACCGACACCACCTGCAGGTCGCAGCCGCTTGCCCTTGACCGCTCGGGAGCTCCGATCTCGTGATGAGACGAGATGGTTAGCTCCGTGGCCTGGACCCATCGCGAGAAGGCCCCACTGATGGGCAGAACATGCTGTGCGCCAGCTTGGAAAGCGAGAGACTGTCGAATAGGAGGCCGAACATCGTGAATAGAGTGTGCAGTCCAAGGGACTTGAGCCAAAGCGGCAACCCACGAGGAGGGGGGAACCGAGAAGGACGGGAAGGGAGCGGGAGAGGCAGCGGCACCAGCACGGGCGAGGTGATCGCTGACCCCCTTCCAGGGGGCCGTCGTTCCGAGGACGCTCGGCTGGGGGGGGGGGCAAACCATTACCTTCACTCCGAATTGCTGCTGCACCCCCAGACGCCGCCGACGAAGCCTGCGTCGCCTCGGGCGCGCCTGCAGGAGGGCTGCTTAGAGATTCCGAGACCCTAGGTGCGGGCTGGAAAGAGGACTCGTTGGCCCAGGGGTCCTCCTCATCAGCTTCAAAAATCCCCTCGAAGCCTTCATCCCCAAGAAGATCGACCTGCGACGGAAAGCCCACGGGGCCGCCAGCCGACTGGTCGAGGTCACTAGGGTCGAGAGGCTCGGGGGAAGGCGCGCTGCCGAAAATGTCACCGTACAGCAACTCACATTCGCTAATCAGACGCTCTTTCTTTTTTTTTTCTGGGCTCGCTCAGCCTGCTCGAGCTTCTTCGCGCTCGACTTGGACCCAGCAGTGGGTGCTGCTGACGGCCTGGGCACTTGCGGCAACCTAGGGACGACAAGCAAAGATCTGCATAACAACTGTTCG